TGTTATGTTCTTCCTGTGAATCATACAGATTTTTCTTGACCTCTTCAAGCTCTCTTTTCATTTCCTCAAATTTATGGCACAACAACTCCTTTTCTCTGTTGGTCACGTCAAATCATGTTCGGAGTCTTTCTCAGTGGCTTTGAAGATCCGTGATTCTCCTTTCGCACCCTCATCGTGTGGTTTCAGTTCTTTTTGAGAATCACCACTCCTTTTGGAAAGCTCCTGGAGGTCCTGTTCAAGAAGTTCGTTATGCCGCCTCAATATGTCAATTTCATGTGCAAAGCATTGGCGTTCCAGGGTCTGTCTGAGCTGTTCACTGTCTGTTGTTTTGTTTTCCTCATTCATGATCCTTTTTCTTTCTTCACTCTCTTGTAACTCTTTAAAGGCTGTGTTTGCCTGATGGAGCTCAGTTTTAACAGCCTGTATTTCCTGTTGCATGTCATCTTTTTCCTTTTCAAAGTCCCTTTTCAGCTCACACATGCGTTTTATCATCACATCATTTTCCTCTCTTAAAGACTGGTTGTCCTTTTCCATGCCTTTCACTTTTATAACATAGCCTGCCTTTTTGCTTTGCAGCTCTCTGATTTCATCCTGCATTTCCTGCATCACCTCTTTGTGTTGCTGAATTTCTTTGCTATTGGAGCTCTGTGAATCCTGTAGAACTGTATTCAAATATTCCAGCTCTTGAATTCTGATGTGAATTGTTTCATTCTCTAGTTGCAGGTCTCTTTTCCTCTTGTTTTTAGAGAACCCACTTCGTTTGAAGAGAACTTCAATGTTTTTTTGGAGAATTTTGTTCTCATTTATGAGCTCTCTTTTTTGCTCCTTAAGGTCGGCGTTCTCGAATTTAAGGTCACGTATGGTAGAGTTTTGTTGTTTGAGAGTTTTATTCTCATTTTTCAGCTCTTTGATTTGCTGTTTAAGTTTTTCGTTCTCGGCTCTCATGTTGCATGCAACAGGATTTGACAGACTCATATTTCAAATTGAAGTTGATGCTAAATCTCTGTACCAACTAAAAGATTTTTTAAAAAGACGGTCAACTGTGTCAGAAACGCAAGTTTCCAGTAGTTTCCTGCCTAGTGAATTCTTCCACTCTCTTTGAAAGACTGACAAGAGTGAGAACCTCTCCCCTATTTATAGGTTTTCGTGTGCTGATGTCATAAAGAAGACCAGAGATCAAAGGGATTCTGGTGAAACGTCACTGTGTCTGGTCTGGGCAGTTCTGAATTGAATAATAACAAAATGACGGGGGCGTGTCTGGTAGCCATGTGAAGACGTGTTGTACAGGGCTCCTCAATGGACTAACTTGTTTCATAATTCCATTGCTCCAAAACTAACGAACTTTTAACAACAGTACGATAACACGCCCGTGTGCTGCTCTGAGGCACTTTTTACATCTTCAAGGCTACGGTGTACGAAATATGAGCAAAACTAGATCGGGGAAAGAGCAGGCCGCAAAAGCCTCGGACCTGTCACGGTTGTTAAAGAGTGGACTCAGGCGCGGAGCTCAGAAATAATGACAGTGCATTTATTTACAGTGCAGCAATGTGACAACAGCTCAAATGTGCAACAATGGTGATAGTGCGTCCCTCCTTCCGTGTAAGCCCGTGCGTGGTAGTGAGTGCCCGTCTCTCCTCCAAGTGCTTCCTTAGTGTCCGTAAATCCTCCGTCAATCCCTGGGTGAACACACACACACACGACAGCAGAATGAGTACGAAGATCAGACAGTAGTGATGGGACGTTCTGTATCGAGGCTTCGGAGCGTGTGTCGAGTAATGGAGGGGGCGTTTCCGCGAAGCGCGTATCGAGGCTTGCTTCATTTATGGGAGGAGCTGAAAATGATGACGTCCGAAGCCTCGCTGCCCGGCTGTACCACGTGACTGGTTCATGAAGTGGTTCGAACTTTGCCGCGAGATATGACAGCGATATAAACCCCTCAGACTTCATTCAAAATGTGGGTGTTTGATGGAGAGTTGTGGTTAGAGAGAGTTTGGAGACCGTTTGGAGGTTTATGAGAGTGAGGAGAGAAAGTCAGGAGAGAATGGAGCCAGCTAAGAAGAGGAGGATGTCCTCCCCTGTGTGGGAACATTTAGATTTTATTCCTCCCAACAAGGTATGTAAATTTCTACAGAAGATGTATTTTCATGATACTGATGGTGCAATACAATTTATGTTGAGCTGTCTTGACTTTTGTACAAGGTGAAGTGTTTGCTATGTGCCAGGGAGCTGGGATATAACAACAACACCTCATCCATGCTTAGGCACTACAGAGCTTTGCATGAGAATAAGAGGAACACCGATTGTGGAGCAAGACCAGGTGAGCCATCAAATGCAATGATAATATAGGATGCAGTAATGTTACTAAATGATATAACAATATTATACAACTGTTATAAGTTACGTGTGTGATATTTATATTTGTGCTTTATCTTTATTGTCTTTCCTCAGGAGAACAATCTCAAATAGATGAAGACCTGGTCAGCATGGTGATTGAGGACTCCCAGCCATTTAGCATTGTGGAGGACAAAGGATTCAAAAGATTTGTTAAATCATTAAATCCCAGCTATGTTCTCCCCACTAAAAATGACGTAAAAGCAGTGAAAATTTAGTTTTTACAGAATAAAATGTGAACAGGCAGGACTGAGGCTCAAAGCCTCAGTGTGTAGCTGTCCATACCTCAACGTTACAAAAGCACAACTACTGTCCACACCCCAACCACACCTCACCTCACAGTAAATGATCGTTTCCATTTTAAGCATTTCCAAATAATCATTTTCCATACTGCCACTATAAATATACACAGTATACTGCCATCACTACAATATACATGTTTTACACACTCCTTTTGTTGTTGACATTTACAGGCTGTGTGCAAAAGGCCACACTCTTCAAATTCATGCCAGCTATTATTTTTACGTCCAGTAGGTGTCCTGCTAGAGCAAATGAAGCTTCATGAAGCTTCGCGTTGGGGTGAACCAATTGGATGAAAAGCTTCAGTGCTTCATGGGGCTTCATCTGCCCATCACTAGCCTTGAGGGTCACCTTTTCTGGGACAGCTGGCTGTACTCAGCAAATACCCAGAGAGTACTTCAGGCCAGCGAAAGAAGAGCTGTAGTGCCAGCTGTGCTGTGTGTGGCGGCTTCTTTCTGCTGGTCTGTGGAGAGGTGAGCGTGTGTGTTACATCCCCCAGGAGGACGTCTCTTCTCCCTATTAACCCTTTGTTTTGTCCAGGCTCCACCTCCTCTGTCCTGATTGGATGCTGCGCAGAGTCTGGCTAATTGGTAATCAGCAGAGCACTATTTAAGGCCTGTGGAGCTGTGCTTCTGGGCCCTCTGGCCATTTTGGTTGGCATACTTGTGCAGGCCTTTGTATCTTGTATGAGCGTTGTTGTTTTCTTCATGTTCAGACTGCTTGTAGGGGAGAGCTGCCTTTTGTTTTGACACCCTGTTTTCTCCTGTTTATGTGTTGTTAGGTAGGTTATGGTTATAGGTTGTATATTTTGTTTCTTTGGAGTTAGGCAAGTTTCTTTTATTTTTACGTCAGGGATGTTTTGTTTGTTATGTTGGCCTTGGCTCTCCCTGACGTTACACCTCAGTCTGAACCCAAATCCCATCACCAGTATTAAATAAACCTTCTAAAATTACCATCTTGGCTCCTCCTTCTCTATCCACATTTATGTTCGTCCCTTCAACCCCCTAGACTAGCCAGGGGACGTAACATTGATTTAACGTTTTTTAACCTCCTTTTCTGTTTCATGACCAACTCGTTGATTTTCTTATTTTTCCTCTTTTTTTATAGGAGACAGCGGTTTGTCCATCACTTTCAGTTTATTAGTAATAAAAATCTTCATAAAAACCTTTAATTAAACTACTTTGCCTTCATGTCTCCTTTTTTCAACCCGGACACTACTTGTTACTTTCCCCACGTCCCCTTGACCTTTTAGGGGAACATAAAAGGGTCACAGCAGCAGACGACCAGACAGAGTGTCAGCTAAGAACATGCCTGCAGGGAAACGCAAGACTGTAAGATTCATAAATTCAAAGAAAAAAATAAAATCAAACAGAAAGAGGCTGACTCGTGTGACTGAATGGGCACAGAAAGGAAATATTTAGTCATCATAAGTCTCCAAATGTTGAAGCGAACAGCAGGCGAGGTCCTTGTTTGTCATTCATAGCTCAGAAGTGACAACCACACGGAAAGTTTCCAGCTCACTCACATTTTTACGGCTAACTTCTCAATCTGTCATTTTAGGTGGCAGCAGTGAGGTTTCACAGCTGCTTTTATTAACCACAAGTCCCCATTTTAGCCTTTAATGGTGCATAAAAACATGCACACACACACACACACACAATGACGGCCGCTGAGAAAAATCAATCCAAGCTGCGCGTTGTTGAAACGACCGTTGGTGGGACCGTTTAGCCGGCTGTCACAGCTTCACTGAGGTGTTTAACAGCTCAGACGTGGTTTTAATATTAATGTTAGAGATTCAGTTACAATAAAATGTATTCATAACAGTATTTTTAACGGTTTCTAGGCTGAAGCATCCTTTCAACACGCTGCAGGGTTTCTCTTCTTTTTTGAAAGTCCTCAAAATAATATTAAGCTGTTATTTTACCTCTCTGTGCAACTTTATCAACACTGTGTTATGTCCTTTTAATGCTTCAGTAATAAATCCCTGTTGGGGCAACTGAGATTTCAGTGGAGATGAAACTCGAGATGCTGGTTTTTGGTAATCCAGACTACGCAGCAACGTATGAATGACTAACATCATCTGAGATGTTAAAATTACAAGAAATGTTTCAGTTCATAAAGAAAAAACTCTGAGTGTAATCGTATCGATGGTTTTATACCTCTGAGGAGCCAGGAAGTGACAGCTAACAAAACAAAACACATTTCTGATGAAAGAGGAACCAGAACAAAGTTTCACAAAGATCCACAACAGCAAAACCTTTCAAAATAAAATGCACAAAAGACAAACAAAGACCTGTAAGAATCACGGTTTATTCACATATTATAGTTAGATTAATAATTCATTCCATTAGTAATGCATGTAAACATTATTACATTAATAAAGATCCCATGTATGTAGGAGTTAGAGCCATAGCTGATAGGTAGATGTTGTCCCTGGTTAAGCTTTTAAGGTACAACACGCTAATACAAACCAGGAGCGTCTAAGAAACAGAAACGTGCGCTTTAAGGTGCTTATTGTAAAAACTCTGCGTTTATAATGAACTGAAGCTGTTAGTAGAATTTAACGAAGTAGCCGCTGTGTCTCTATGTCAGCATAGTGTCTCAAACAGATATTATCTCGAGGTAAAAACATGGCTGGGCTGTCCTGGCTGACTTTGACATCTAATACTTTTATTTCTGGTGTTTTATTGTGAAGCACTTTGAGATTTTTATCTGTGAAACGTTTGACATGAGTCAGTTTTACTTACTGATGTACTGTAATATCAGTTTTTGTGAAAGAATAGTGTGGTGAGTTAGTTGAACCTTTACTTAAAGGCAGCTCTTTAACAGTAAACCCTCATTTACAATGGCGGCTTGGCAAAGGGGAAAAAAACAGGGTGGAGCCCCCTGGTGGTGAACATTTCAGTTAAATTTTGCAGCGTTTTTTGTTTGTTTTTGTAGTTCGTTCCCTCGATAGTTACCACTTTAATGTCTTTTGTTACCTTGATGTGTTTCTAAAAGTTGAGTGATGAGGAAACTGATAAATATTTGCAGCCTTTTATCACTGATAAACCTTTACTAAATATTTCTGATTATTTCCGGGCAGACTGGATCTCCACAGCTGCATCTCCGCCTCTCCATTCCAGCCAGATGCTGATAAAGTCATCTGCACATCAGCATGGCGCTCAACAGGCCTATGAGGACGGTGACAGGCACCAGGAGGAGGGCCACGTACAAGAACCACGGCTCTGGGTACACGCCTGAAATCAAAACGCACAAAACCCTTTGTGTGAAGTTTGATCCCATTATCAATAACACACGAGTGCAGTGTTGGAGTCCTTTTTCCAGTAAGAGCATATTTCTAGAAGCTTAAACGACAAACTCACCATGACGCGCTGATGAACATGTAGTGGACTCATTTTTATCACCTTCTCCAACTTCTGAAACCAATGAGAAAAAAACCTTTCACGATTAAACAGGTTTCCTCTTCAAAGATACACATTGTACATGAAATCGGTTTAAACCCCTCAGAGTGAACGTCAACATAGGGAGAAAGAAAGAAAGACCTTTCATGGACTTTATGTCCAAAAAAATCTGTACTGTGTTGAAGAGACAGCGCCTGAAGTTGTTAGAGAGCCAGGCTGTACTTTTGTGTAATATCAACGTTGTACCACAAGATGGCGAAGTGAGTCAGTCAGGCTAGTCGTTTAGGTAAGCATGCTAAAACATACCTGTAGTTACTTCTTTCCTAGTCTTTAGACACTTTACTTACATAACCACTGAAGAGGTTGAGCAAAGGGGTTCAAAAACTTGCTAAATTTACCATAAGGTAAAAGTAATAGTTTCTGAAAAACATTTAGTAAATCTACAAAGATTTAATGGCCAGTTTATGAAAAGAAAACTTGTGACTATATGAGAAAAAATGTCAAATTTATAAGAAAAGCTACACCAAAATAAAATAAAAGCAGACGACCTGCTGTGCCGTCGGAAAAAGCACGACAATCACATCATTAAGGAATTATTAGCTCATGTTCATTCAACGAAGTCATCTTAACTACAACAATATAACATGATATATCACTAAATTCACAATTTAAATTAAAGTAAGAAATACCAAAAACTTTAATAAACTGTAGAAAGTATAAAGTCCAGATTTCAGACACACAGCTGCTGTGCCCCTAAAAAACATTTTAGCTCATCTTTTAAAGAAGCATAAGCGAACAGAGTCGTGCAAAGAAAATCTCACACAGAAATTCAGGATTTTTCTTATTTCCTGTTAAAAAAATTTCTGTAAAGCTTAATTTTTACTGTTCAAAATCTGCAGTGTCATTGATTCCTCTCAGGAGGACGATGATTAATCTGATGATTGACTCAATCGGAGGTCACTAAAAGCTCTCATTTCTAGAAATATGGACAAATTTATTAAACCCCCCAAAATATGAGTATCCAGAGTTGGGACCAGGAAGCAGAGTTGCAGTCTTACACGCCTCTCTGCAGCTTCTCTCCTCCTGCTACCCTCTCAAAAACCCATCTCCATAGAGACTGTGTCAGCTCCCAAACAGACAAAAAACAAACTAAAAACCAGCAACAAACAACTTAAACATAAACAATTAAAAGAAAGAACAATACAGTATCCACATCTGAACCAAAGAGTAAAACAGTGAAATGTGGATTATTAAATATTAGGTCTCTCTCCTCCAAGTCTCTGTTAGTACATGACTTAATAATTGATCAACAAATCGATTTACTCTGCCTTACAGAAACCTGGTTGCAGCAGGATGATTATGTTAGTTTAAATGAATCAACACCCCCGAGTCATTCTAACTACCAGAAATCTCGAAGCACAGGCCGAGGGGCGGTGTGGCAGCAATTTTTCACACCAGCCTATTAATCAACCAAAGACCCAGACAGACTTTTAATTCATTTGAAAGCCTGATGCTTAGCCTCGTCCACCCCAGCTGTGAAACTCAGAAACCAGTCTTACTTGTTATCATCTATCGTCCACCTGGGCCTTACGCAGAGTTTCTGTCTGATTTCTCAGACTTTATATCTAATTTAGTTCTGAGCTCAGATAAAATAATTATTGTGGATGATTTTAACATCCATGTAGATGCTAAGAATGACAGCCTCAACATGGCATTTAATCTGTTATTAGACTCAATTGGTTTCTCTCAAAATGTAAAAGAACCCACCCACCACTTTAATCACACTCTAGATCTTGTTTTAACATATGGCATAGAAACTGAACATTTAACAGTGTTTCCTGAAAACCCTCTCCTGTCTGATCATTTCCTGATAACATTTACATTTACAATAATTGATTACACAGCAGTGGAGAGTAGACTTTATCAAAGTAGATGTCTTTCTGAAAGCGCTGTAACTAACTTTAAGAATATAATCCACCCACTGTTATCATCTTCAATGCCCTTAGACTCTTTTTCTCTAAGGCATCTTTCTGAGTTAACTTCAATAATTACTTCCTCCAAACCATCAACGTGTCTTTTAGACCCCATTCCTACAAAACTGCTCAAAGAAGTCCTGCCATTAATTAATGCTTCGATCTTAAATATGATCAACTATCTCTAATGATCAGCTATGTACCAGAAGGCCTTCAAGCTGGCTGTAGTTAAACCTTTACTCAAAAAGCATCTCTAGACCCAGCAGTCTTAGCTAATTATAGGCCAATCTCCAACCTTCCTTTCATATCAAACATCCTTGAAAGAGTAGTTGTCAAACAGCTAACAGATCATCTGCAGAGGCTTATTTGAAGAGTTTCAGTCACCCTTCTCAATCACTATGTGTTCACAGACCTCTCTGCACTGAATCACTCTTGTCATTAATCTCTGTCTCTCTTCCACAGCATGTCTTTTGTCCTGTCTTCCTTCTCTCACCCCAGCTGGTTGCAGCAGATGGCCGTTAGCAGCAGTGTTGTGATTTGGTGCTGTATAAATAAAATTGAATTGAATTGATTACCAGACAGGTTGCTGTGGAAGATGCTCTTTGTAATCACGTCATCCCTCAGGTGCAGCTGGCACTCGTATTTCCCACGCGACCACAGAGGTACGGTCTCAGAGAGAGTGACGTACGGCAGAGCGGCGTCGGCGTCTCCTGGAGCTGAGGTAACATTTTGGAGTCGACGGCCGTTGTGAAAAATGTGCAAAGAAAATCCAGCATCCCGCGTCACGCTGACCTCACAGCCTAGCATGCAGGGAGCGTGTTTGGTGACATTAAAGACCGTGGCGCCTGAAACAAGAGACACACGTACAGCACGGTCATAGACACATATTTTTATAAAATTCTTTCAGAAGTTCGGGTTTAATCACTGGAACCAGAAGTATTTAACATAAATAATAAATGTATTCACTAATTAAAAGTTCTTTTTCAAACAGAATATCAAACAGGATGTCAGCTCTAGTTTAATTCCTCTTTCATGTGAATCTTTTTACACAGGTCGCCTTTCCCTCGTTGTTTTTCTTTCTGTGTTTTTTACCTCCATACTCAGAGCAAATATTTCACAGCTTTTCTGCAGACTGCTCTGTAGGTCTGCAGAGGAAACTGTTCACGTGCACGTGCCACAGAGGGCTGTTCTGTCCTCCTGACACGGTCTAATGTAATCTAACCCCTGACCTTTAACCTTAAACCTCCTCTCTGTCAGCCAAACTCTGCAGAACAAGAGTCAGTAGATGTGAATACTGTGAAATGTGACTACGTTTGGTCGCCCATGTGAAGCAATAAACAAAAAAACAACAAATCTTCTGCCTTGTATTTACCGTAAACCACAAGGGAAGTTGTGTCCCCCTTCTGCCTAAAATTTCCATTCCTCTCTGTGTGAAGCGAGAGCTTGCACCGGTACTTCCCGCTGTCAGCCCACTGCACACTTTTCAGAATCATTGACTTGTTTGTTGACATCCCGTTATTGTCCAGAAGGGTTGCACGGCTATTGTTCGGGGTCTGTGAGGGGATCAACCGTATGAAATCAGCAGCCATCTCATTTAATTTCCACCAGTAGAGGATGGGCTGGGACAGGAGCTTCTCATCTTGCAGCCGGAGCTCACAGGGCATGATGATATCCTGACCCAGAGCTGCAGAGAGCACAGCAGGCTGGTGAACAGTGACCAAAGAGAAAGCACCTGAAAGACAGCCAGTAAACATGAACTGTCAAAAACAACTTTATTGATATAGCACCGTTAAAAACAGTGTTTACAACATGCTTTAAAAAACAGGAAGTTGTGATGTCATGTCCAAGAGCAGTGTGACACAGAAATGCCCTCTTCCTCTTTAAACCTGTGATTGGTTGTGAATACACTGACAGCAGCACAGACACACAAACCAAAGACCACACTGTTTTATTATTTGTGGCTGTGGTCATCACTGGGCTATTTTACCAACCAATGTGTAGCTTCATACGAAGAACCACTTCTGTCTTGTGGTCATGGGAAAGCTGGAGTGCAGCCTTCTACCCAAGTTTCATACCTCCGTGTCTGATAAACTAGTGCGGCTGAAATTCACAGGCTTTACAGTAAGTATGTGACTCATGAGGGAATGTTTTAAAACTGTTTCTCTGCAGTTACTGGATGCAAAGGTTATAATAAGGAAGGGTCAGCTTTAAACGGAGTCAGGGACAAAACTTACAGTACTGGGTTTTTCCACATTTTAAGTTTCTGTTTAGTGAGCCACTCGAGGGCCACTGTTGTTTCAGGGACCCAAATGCACAAGGAGGAGTAGCTGCCCTTTTATTGAGGCTGATGCAGAAGACAAAACACTAGCAAAGTCCAAAAGATCAAATCCAAGCAGGCATGAGGAGCACAACTGAGGAGCATAGAAGACGTGTTGACCATGCAGGAAAGATTGGAGGAGGTGTTAGACACAGGAGAGAAAGGCAGGTGAAACTAATCAAGAAAATCAGAAACACAAGGAAAACTAATGCAAGGCATGAAAATATGAACAAATTTCAAAGTAAAACAGAAAATAAGGAGAAGTTAGATCGACAAGAATACTAACGCATCAAAGACAAGAGGAGATGACTGAAGCAAGACATGAAGGAATCCAAAACAGAAACACGGAAAATCCTAGAAGCAAATCCAGGTCGCAGGAAACATTATGGTTTGGTTTAAAACACATCCTTTAACAACAGCAACCTTCTTAGTGGAACTTTCAGTTTCATCCATTAACTCCAAATCACAACAACAGTTACCTCGACGTGTTTTATATTGTATGTAATTAGAACTAAATATCAGCAACAACCCCCTATAAACAAGCACTTGGTGACCGCAGGAAGGAAAAACTTCCTTTTAACAGGAAGAAACTTCTGGCTGCAACTGGTTGAGTGAGAGTAGAGATACAGGACAAAAGACAACGCTGATACCTGCAAATTATTAAATACAGTACAAACACATGACAGGCAGACTCATTCCAAATGACATCATGTATGTAATGAGAACAGAGGAGGCTGTTTTATCTTTAAAATTCTTTACTGATATAAACATTTAGTCTGTATTGATGGTGAGAAGAAGAGGTGACATTGCATAAAAGTTTTCCTGCAGATGAATGAAGGTAAAGTAGAAACCAGAACAGTCGTGAGGGTCGCCTGCTGGTCACGCTTCAAGAACTTAAACAAGAAGTGACACAGAGGAATTTTCTTTAAAAATCCCTGAAAGAAGAACTTTGGGAAGACGTTATTTTTAGTGGATCTGCATCGTTACTTGCTTCTATTTTCACTTCCCCCAAAAATATGTACAGTGTACACCAACATTTCCCAACAGCCAAATTCAAGCGCAAAAACTGTTGAAAGTGACAAAAACAACCAATCAGCATAAACATAAACAACAAGTTACTTTTCATATTCTAACTGAAGAGACCGTGATGCTGGTACAGCACTCTCCTTTATGTCTTTGTGCATAACTGAAGTTTAAGTCTGGGACCGGCATCAAAAGCAGTTTGGAACAACAACTCTTCTTGCTAAATGTTTCAGTGAGAAACATTAGCTTTCATCCTCTTACAGTTATAGGAGTGGTTAACCTCTTAATATGCACCAACACTCTTGTGTTAGGGCTGGGCTGCATTTGCCTCACAATCTAAACAAAGATAATGATGCATATTTCTCGTGGTTCTCAGCGTCCTACTGGTTGTGCTTTGATATAAACACCAAGCTCCGTTTTTTCCTTACATTGCATTTGTGTCTTTGCTCTCTATGAGAGACCAGTGCTTGGTCTTTCAATGAGTCTTTTAACAGATTTGTAGCTCATTAGAATTTAAACTGCTGGCAGTCAGTCAGGAAGTTCACTGAAATGCTGAATGTGTGTAATTCCCATCACAGCTGCACAAGTGAAACTTTCTAATCTCATCTGATCTGAGCAAGCTGTGTTTTTCCGAAAAACACACCGAAGCAGAAACACACCTCTATGCTGATGATACTGATATTTATGCACGCGCTCCCTCTGTGCTGCGGGCAGAGCTTCAGACTGAATATCACTCACAAACGTAAACGCTCACAAAGCGAAAACATTTATGGTGTACTCGAAATCTCATCTACAGCACTGTGCTGACTTAGCAGTTTTACATCTGATACCAAAGGGTGTACAAGTATACAAGAACTTGAGAATATGGATGGATGACAAGCTTTTCTTGAACTTGTTTCTTTTAACCCTGTGATATGTTATGGTGGTTTATCTCGTCATTCAGTGTTCATGCCTTTCTGTCTTTAATTAAAAGTCTCTTCATTTTTCATGAATCGGGTGGATTATCATCACAGACTGTTCACAAGAAACAGTGCGGCACATGTGTACCTGTGAAACAGTCTCAGCTACACTCCCCCAAACAGTTGCTTTTTAACATTTCTGGCTGTTTGGAAATCGTTATGTTCGGGACTGCTGCTAGGTCAGCACACTGGCAGCAGATGGCCCCGCCCCTCCCTGAGCCTGACTCTGCCGGAGGTTTTTTCCTTCCCACTGTCGCCAAAGTGCTTGCTCGTTGGGTTTTTCTCTGTATGTATTATTGTAGGCTCTACTGTACAATATAAAGCACATTGAGGCGACTGTTGTTGTGATTTGGTGCTGTATAAATAAATTTGAATTGAATTTCATATTTTTTAATGTAATGTACTTTGCAGAAGGATCTGATCTGGAGCTTATATCTATCGTTGAATTTAACCGTCTCTAGTATCTTGTCTTTAAGCTTGCTGCTACCTTTGCTGGTCAAAGAGATTTGATCCCAGCGGCACTTCCTTTTTACATACAGGTAAATATAATAGATAAAAGCTGACGTGTTTATGTGGCTTAAAATGACAACTTTTGAGTTTGTCTTTTAACATTAGCTGTTAGCTTAGACAGAATGAATGAGTGTATCCCTGCATGTTTGCTAACAGCTGGGATTCTGATTGTTTTAGGAGGCAATTCAGTATCTGACACAGCATTTATGTTACAGTTACCTTTAACATTGAACATGTAACAGTTTAGAACTGTCCACACATTTGTTAAGGTTTTGAGACTGTGGTCATACAGGCTTCAGCCACTCATTGATGATAAGCACCATGTCTGTACCAACAAAACTAAACGATTCCAGCATGATTGCATTTTAATTTGTGAATTGTTGTTGTTAAGGTTTACTTTATCAGTTCCCGAGAAACTATTACATGTTTCAGCTGGTTGGCACCTGCAGAGATTTTACATCTGTCTGTTTAAACCACAGGAAGAGGTAACCTCAGTACTTTGTGTTACCTTGTAGCTAGTCATCGACATCTTCAGAGAGGAAATGGGTCAACTAAGGTAAAATCTTTGCAGCTCCTTAAAAATATATTTTTTTAAAGAGTTCCATTCTGAAACGAATGCAGAGAAAGATTCAGAGAATGAGCTCTAAATCTAAAAAAAGAGCAAGCTAAGAAGTCACATAGATTCATTCACTACAAGCTTTTTCTGTGAATAATAAATAAAGTTAGAAAAAATGGGTTAACTTTCAGTTTGGCTGAAAATTAGTTCTGCCCCTCACTGCAGAGGGAAAGATCATAAAAAAACATATGCCAGACTCTAGATGTTAGAGTCCATGATCCAAATTATTCTCTTTATTCATGACGAGCTAAGATGTCTCCATTCAGGACAGACTTTTATTGTGAAGGGTCACATTTCTGCCAGTATCTTTGAGGTTTAACACTGAAATGCTCGCAGCTTCTTAAATTTATGACAACACAGAAGCAACTGAAATGTCAGATTGCCAGAAACCAAATCAGAAATACGTTTATGAATATTTCAAGAGACGGTTCAGGATCCTCATCACAAAAATAACACAAAATTTAACAAAATAAAACAAACATGTACCTGAGACCACAAAGCAGAGAATAATCCATGATGTCCTCCCCCACTTTGACAAATTCAAGCTACGATGGCGCTCACACGAAACAGCGCTTGACATGTTTCCTGACTGAAACCACAGGATAAAGATTTCCTACTGCGAGAGCGCGCAGATTAAATACTCCAGGGTGGGGTGTGTGTGTGTGTGTGTGGGGGGGGGGTCACTTCCTCCCAGCATAACGAATCTGTGTGGGGTACAAAACAAAGCAAAACGAGTTTTGCAGCAGGAGGTTGCTGCCCAACATGTTGATGAAATCATCTCTCATCAGGGTCCAGTGAGTTTCACGATCAGCCTTTTTCAGCCTTTTACACGTTTATTTGGTGTCATGAAAATTTTACAACGTCAAACTTCACTTTTCCTCTGAGTGTTGTTAGAATGTCTCAACCATGTTGGTGTAAAGGGTCAGTCTGATGCACAGGACCAGATCCACTGACAGTCTGCACCTGTTGGCTGCACACTTTGGGACTGACTCCACTGTATATGTTTGTAGGTTCAGTTTTAAAGAGTAAAATGTTGGAAAGTGTACCTGGTGTCTCAGAGCTGTGACTCCCAGAGGTGGGACCAAGTCATTGTTTTGCAAGTCTCAAGTAAGTCTCAAGTCTTTATCCTCAAGTCTCAAGTAAATCTCAAGTAATGTCAGGCAAGTCAGAGTCGAGTCTCAAGTCACTGGTGTAAAAGTCCGAGTAAAGTCACAAGTCTGAAATTTTGAATTTCAAGTCCTTTCGAGTCATTAAAAAAACGAAAAAAAGCATGTTGCAGTTATGCTAAATGTAAATATTAGACCATGTAATTTTTAAATCTGTGTTTTTCTCAACACATGACAAAATAGTGAACTTAGAAAATATACACAAATTGTGAAATTGCACCTCTTTAAAATGCAGCTCAATTAAACTTAGCTCCAAGAATAATTTTCACCGACAGTTCTGAGATAAGCTGCATGTTATTCTTGGATGCGGTTGTAGGACCGGCTTTAAAATCGCATGACAAAAATATCATACATATTAAAAAAACTGTATCACCAACGTAGCCTGGACAACATTTGCTAGTTAGATGAAGTCAGCTATCTCATTGTAGCATATTTATATGCATATTTATAATCATACGGTTCTTGGAGTGAGTGCATACACTCATGAAGTTTAGTAACTTCAGGTCACTGCAACAAGCCCAGGTACAGTTTACCGACGGATGGGTGCAGGACCTTGAAATGCACCGTGTAGAAAGTAAAGACCATCGTACGTATCATAAGTTTACCAGTCTCACAAATTGTCGTCATAAATACACATTCCTTAACCGTTTATTAATATAACCTTTGAGCTCAACGGTAATTAATTAGTAGTGGAAATAATTTCTGGTAGCATCACAGAAATGTAGCAGTGACAACAATATTGTATGCTGTAATCGTACTGGGCAATTAGTGATACAAAAACCTGTTTTATCCTGTGAATAAAAGTATATGTTTTTGTCAATGTACCATAATAACAGAAGCGAAACGCAATATTGTGTCAGGACAATTTACTATTTATGCACAATAAACAAAGGAGCATAGCGCGACAATTTCTGTTCAGCGCCAGACTTGCTTGTAACCTATATCACCAGTTATGTTAAGAAAAATGACGCATTAACTACAACAGCAGACTGACCTTTGTGGAAATGCTTGGAGCAGACTAACCTGTGAGCTGGAGTGTTCTAGGACGTTATATTTGATCTTTGAATGGCTGCAATCCAGTCGCCTCTTTGTTACTTCGGAAACATGGCTCGAACAATTTCTCTTCAACGACGTAATCCGATAACAACCGATCTCTTTACCCGTCGGCTTCCCGTGGCTGTCATGCGACCAGCTATTGCAGTTAATAATACAACAGCTTCTTGACATTTTTGTGTTTCTTTTTATCGCTGTGTGACTGATTTTAATTGAAAGCCTGCGTGCGCTAGTACCGCTTGCCACGAGTTCCCAGAATCCTTTGCGGTTCTACCCGTGAATGACGTCACATTTTCAATCTCTATATAATATGCATGTTAAATTTTATATTTGGGGTAAAATATCAAGTCTTTTCAAGTAAACCGGTTCAAGTCCAATTCAAGTCCCAAGTCATTGGTGTAAAAGTCCAAGTCAAGTCACAAGTCTTACAACATTTTTTCAAGTCAAGTCTAAAGTCATAAAATTAATGACTCGAGTCCAAGTCATGTGACTCGAGTCCACACCTCTGGTGACTCCTCCCACCTGCAGGACTCGTGTTTTTGGTTCTCGTGTTTACTGGTACTGTGATGAAACAGAGGGAAGAGGAGGACGTTCCCGTTAGAGGATGTACACAAGGATGCATCTTGTATCAGTTGTCACAGCCAGGCGAGTTTTTTTTTTACTGTAAGCTGATGGTTTCTCTGTGTTTCCTGTTTCTGGCACATTTCTACTCAACGATTTGCACAAAAAAGTCCCCGGCATGTTTGTACTTAGCAGTGCACACACAAAGAGAGACTGTTTTTTCTACTTCTCTATTAATTTTCTTTCATTGCATTGTTGTTTCAGATTCTCAGAAATGTTCCCACACTGTTCAACGATTTACAGACATTTCATTGTTTCTGTCATGAAGCAGTCCTTCTGTATCAGAGGTACGATGGAGGAGAAAACACTCCCTGGAACAGCTGGAGTGATGTGTGATCGGCTCTTCACTCTCAACGCTGAACATCCAGAACATCCAGCTACACATTTCAGGCAGCCCAGAAAGTTGTTGGACTTGGAGAAACATGCTGATCTTGGATGATATGTGTCGCACCCGCTGCATCCGCAAAGCCACCAGCGTTGTGGAGGACCCCACACACCCCTCACACACACTCTCCATCCTGCTGCCTTCTAGCAAAAGGTACCAGAGCATTCAGGCCTTCACTGTCAGACACTCAGTGACTGGACTGACACACATTCATACACCAAGTTGATTTTGCACATTTCTATTGCAGTGTTGTGTCTGTATCATTGTGTTCTGTCTTTGTTTTGTTTGTTTTTTGCAATTTTTTGCACTTCAACTTATTGTTAACATCAAATAGTAAAAGGACTGGTGTTTGTAAAGCACCCTTCAGCTGAGCACTCAGAATGCTTTCTGCTGCAAGTCTTGTTCACCCAGTTACACACGTGCACAGACATACACACACACTTTAATTTACAGCATGTCTAAGTACAATCGAACACTCAGTGATGTCGACCATTACGTATTATTCATCTCTGGCTCTGTCTTCCTCCCCTCACTCCAACTGGTTGCAGCAGATAATCCCCCCCTTCCTGAAACTGGTTCTGCTGGAGGTTTCTTCCTATTAAAAGGGAGTTTTTCCTTCCCACTGTCAACAAACGCTTGCTCATAAAGGGTCACATGATTGCTGGGGATTTCTTTGTTTTTAGTATTGTGGGATCTTTACAATATAAAGTACCTTGAGGCAACTGTTGTTGGGATTTGGTGCTATATAAATAGAACTGAAGTGAATTGTTGAACGTTAAAAGCACCGAACCCAAACAGCTTCCTCCAAAGCAGACCTGGCAACAGGAAGGCACTGAGCTCAAACTCAAACAGCTGGTAGTTTGGTCAAATCATGCTCTTACTACAGATGAACGGCTCTGGAGTTTGATTGGAGTTTGATCGAGACCATCATCACTAAAACATCTCACCCGATTACAATGACAGTATTCACGTCAGAGCTTGATTTAAACAGAATGAACAAGGCAGGTATAAAAAAACACCCCAAGAGTCATAGCAAGGCATTTTTACTAAAAGACTAAAAATTCAGTCATATTATTGTCTACGCCTACAGCTCTTGAGCTGTATGCGTTTCAGACTCAAACGTGGGACGTCTGACTAATTTACAAAATTTGCAAATTTACAAAATGGTAATAACAGGTGTTCAAAAGTTTCTGATGAGGATACCTCAATCTGCCTCAATACCCAAGACTAAAACTAACAATAAAACACTGAAACATACAAATAAACATTTAAAAAGAACAAAATGAACAAACACACTCTGGAAACTATCTGAAGCTGAATTAAATCAAAAAGTCAGAATGGTGATTACAAAAACTAATAACTCTGCCCGTTCATTCTGGCACATGAACACTAATGAGTTTCGCCTCGGTGTGGCACGTGGGGTTCACCTATCTCAGTCCTCACACAGGCACCGCTGAGTCACAGCTGTACTTTTCCATGTCTCTCCCACATACATACATTTAGCCAACAAGTTGAACCCTCGATGGAAACTATACATGCATAACTAGCTCTGTGCGTTTGCAGAGGTGTGAAGACCACTCGCTCTTGAACAACTTTTTTAGCCACTGACAGTGTCGGGCTGCCTCTGCACACCTACCTGTGGTTAAGACATGTAAAAAAACACCAACTTTGTACTCAGGCTTTAGAAAATGTTAAAAATGTGTTAGCTGTGTTTCCATACTGCTTCTCCAGTTCAAACTGGCCTGTTTCTCACTGGTTCTTACAGATCTCAGAGCAAACCTCCTCATAGACTGTATATAAAAGATGGACAAAGCCAACTTTAGATTAGCTGTTGGTTTGTGAAGCCCAGTTTTAAAGCTACAGCTTTATAATTGTGACTGCTAACATTATGACCTGGACGGGAGGGTGGACTGCAGTGTTATTGGCTAACACTAGCTAGCTTAGTTAGCAAGTTGCTTTTATATTTTATTATTAGACAAAGATCACCTGACTGTAAAAACTGCAGTTTTAAAATGATAAACCACTTATTATGGGAATAGAGGTTATCCAAACCTACCTGGCCCTGTGTGAAAAAGTAATGATAACCTAATAAGTAAAAGAGCCACAATCAAGAATTTACAATACCTGGTGATGTGTGTGTGTGTGTATGTATATGTATGTATGTATGTGTATATATATATATATATATATATATATATATATATATATATATAATATATATATATATATATATATATATATATATATATATACATACATATATATGCCCCAGAGACAATCCGGCACATAACAGCAGGGTGCAAGATGCTAGCAGGCAGGGCATACATGGAACGCCATAACCAAATGGCCGGCATAG